ACAGTAGCACGTCTGAAAGCACCACAAACGTATGTGATTGATATCTCAGCTGCTGAAAACGTTACGAACGTTTGAGAACGTTTACTGTTGCTGCCGCGTCAAACGGATGCGTCCTGTTCAATCAGGAACGCTGTAGCACGTCTGGAACACCACAAACGTATGTGAATGATATCTCAGCTGCTGACAACATGACGAACGTTTGGGTGAACAAACGCATGTGAATGATATCTCAGCTGCTGCCAACGTGACGTATTTGGGTGCGTTTCAGCGTCAAACGGATGCGTCCTGTTCAATCAGGAACGCTGTAGCACGTCTGGAAGCACCACATCTCAAGAACGCTGTAGCACGTCTGGAAGCACCACAAACGTATGTGACATGATATCTCAGCCTGTTACAACGTGACGAACGTTTGGGTGCGTTTACTAATGCTGCCGCGTCAAACATATGCGTCTTCAACGTGACGAACGTTTAAGTGCGTTAATCGTTGCTGCCGCGTCATCAGACGCGTATTGTTCAATCAGGAACGCTGTAGCACATCTGGAAGCACCACAAACGTATGTGAATGATAGTGTTTGGGTGCGTTTACTGATGCTGCCGCGTCAAACGGATGCGTCCTGTTCAATCACGAATGCGTTTACTGATGCTGCCGCGTCAAACGGATGCGTCCTGTTCAATCAGGAACGCTGTTTAGCACGTCTACACCACAAACGTATGTGAATGATATCTCAGCTGCTGACAACATGACGAACGTTTGGGTGAACAAACGCATGTGAATGATATCTCAGCTGCTGCCAACGTGACGTATTTGGGTGCGTTTCAGCGTCAAACGGATGCGTCCTGTTCAATCAGGAACGCTGTAGCACGTCTGGAAGCACCAAGATGCGTCCTGTTCAATCAGGAACGCTGTAGCACGTCTGAAAGCACCACAAACGTATGAATGCGTCCTGTTCAATCAGGAACGCTGTAGCACGTCTGAAAGCACCACAAACGTATGTATGATATCTCAGCTACTGACAACGTGACGAACGTTTGGGTGCGTTAACTGTTGCTGCCGCGCAGCTGCTGACAACGTGACGAACGTTTGAGTGCGTTACTGATACTGCCGCGTTAAACGGATGCAAGAACGCTGTAGCACGTCTGGAAGCACCACAAACGTATGTGACATGATATCTCAGCCTGTTACAACGTGACGAACGTTTGGGTGCGTTTACTAATGCTGCCGCGTCAAACATATGCGTCTTCAACGTGACGAACGTTTAAGTGCGTTAATCGTTGCTGCCGCGTCATCAGACGCGTATTGTTCAATCAGGAACGCTGTAGCACATCTGGAAGCACCACAAACGTATGTGAATGATAGTGTTTGGGTGCGTTTACTGATGCTGCCGCGTCAAACGGATGCGTCCTGTTCAATCACGAATGCGTTTACTGATGCTGCCGCGTCAAACGGATGCGTCCTGTTCAATCAGGAACGCTGTTCCACGTCAAACAGATGCGTCCTGTTCAATCAGGAACGCTGTAGCACGTCTAGGAGCACCACACATGTGGATGATATCTCAGCTGCTGACAACGTGACGAACGTTTGGCTGCGTTTACTAACGCGTTAGTCGGATGCGTCCTGTTCAATCACGAACGCTGTAGCACGTCTGGAAGCACCACAAAC